AATGAAATGAATATTAATAAATTACTGAAAATATAAAAATTTTCATGAAAATTAGGCCAATTGGAAAAGGAAATGAATATTAATACTTGAATATTAATAAGTTACTAAAACTATAAAAATTACTGGCATAAAATGTATTAATAAAAATGTAAAATGCAGTTTGCATCTCAACGTTTAACCGAGATGGAAAGAAATATTAATCTCGGTTATATATTTTATATAATGTAAAGGTAGTGGAAATATTAAAAAAAATGGTTATTAATAATTAACTAATTAATTAATATGTATTAAAAAGAATAATTGACTAATTGGAAAAGGTAATGAATATTAATAATTCACTCCAAATTAAATATGATTCCCAGATATAATTCACTGAACACTAATATTTAAAATATCTAAAGTTTCAGCAATGGATGCATACATCTACTATTAATTGGGCAATTATTTGATCGAATTCAAGCAATGACAACATTAGAAAATACAATCGATCCAACTCAATTTATCAATTACATTATATAATATTCGATGTAATAATTTATATAATTATATATCGATCCAAATATTTTAACAAATGCATTCTGTGCATCGCACGGGCGAAAATACTAGTACATTTAAATAATATTTTTGTTAATATTATTATTATTAGGAGTATTAGTATTAATATAGCAATCTCTTAAATTTTTCACACAATTAAACAATATCTTGAACAATATTCATCCCGTGCATCGCACGGGTACTATACTAGTTCCATACCAAAATCAAATTTGTATGTAATCAATCAATTACTATTATAATATAATATTAAATTAAACACTTTAATCTAAAATATTATAGTCATGAAAAATTTCCTAAATGGCATTCAATTATCATATAAAGAATCATTATTTGAGGAGCAAAATAAATATTTCAAAATTATAAAAATATAATTATTACTACCATAAAAATCATATTTTAAATGGTAACAATAGCATATCATCATCTAATCTTCCAAGATTTTAATACTTTTAAATATAAAAAATAATCGTTATGATAATAATTAGTAATACCAAAAATATCTCATATTTTTATTTGGTAATATAATTTTCCAAATATTGATGAAAACTTAAGTGTATGCTGAATTAACAATGAATGCAGCAATTGAAAGAGAGAAAACTGAACTCATTCATTTGGGAAGAAAGGTTACAAAAAATCAGTTTTCCGGAAAGGAGAGAAGCTCTGCTATATATTTCTCTATACACTAACTGCCAGAAGCAGTTATGACAGGTAAGAACAAGGGAGGAAATTACAAGAAGGGCCCTAGCTGGAAATTACAAAAATGTCCTTGGTTATCTATTTTATCACCCCCCCCCCCCCCCGGCTGGAGCTTGAATGTCTTGAAGGCCCAGCTTAGAGTGGAAAGTATCAAATAGCAGCTTTGACAGGCCTTTTGTGAAACCATCAGCAACCTGTTTTTGTGAGGATATGGACATAAGCTTTCACTATTGGAAATTATGAAATTTCCGACCACATGAAAGTGATCTTAAATCAATTCGAAAGCAAAAAGTGGCCGAAAATAGCAACAAAGGTTTTTCCGGATACCAAAAGTGGTCGAAACAAGACTTTCGACTTGATTTAAGATCACTTTCATGTGGTCGGAAATTTCATAATTTCCAGCAGTGTTTATCACCCTTTCATGGACCTTTTGCTTGACAACATGGCAATCTATTTCGATATGCTTGGTCCTCTCATGAAAAACATGATTTTCCCCTATTGCAGTGGCAGATTGGCTGTCACAAAAGAGAGTAGTAGGGCTGTTAGGTTTCACCTTTAGGTCTTCTAGTAGTAAGTATAGAAGCCATTGTATTTCACAGACTATAGAAGCTAAAGCCCTGTATTCAGCTTCAGAGGATGATCTAGACACAGTGACCTGCTTCTTTGTCTTCCATGAGATTAATGATTTTCCAAGATAGATGCAAAATGCAGTTATAGACTTTCTAGATTCTGCACAAGTGGCCCAGTTTGAATAAGAGAATTCTTGTAGCTTGATTTCAGAATTTGCTGAGTAGAATATTCCTTTTCCTGGGGATCCTTTCGGTATCTAAGTACCCTATGAATAGCCATAAGATGTGTATCCCTAGGCTTGTCAACAAATTGACTTAGTTGTTGTACAACATAGGTAATATCTGGCCTAGTGTTTGTCAAGTATAACAGCTTTCCAACCAACCTTTTATAGACTTCTGGTTTATCAAGTAATGTCCCTTCAAAATTGCTGAGCTTTTGTCCTGCAGTGATAGGAGTGTGTACAGGCTTAGCACCTAGGAAACCACTCTCCTTTAGGATTTCCAGACTATATTTTCTCTGGCATAAGTTGAGACCATAAGCTGTTCTGAATGCTTCAAGCCCTAAGAAGTAGTTTATATGGCCAAGATATTTTATCTTGAAAGTCTTGTCCAGAAAATCCTTCAGTCTAACAATCTGCTGGGAATCAGATCCTGCAACTAAGATATCATCAACATATATTAAGAGTGCCATAAATGACTTATCTGACACTTTAGTGAACAAGGATGGATCTGCTGCTGATTGCTGGAATCCATTGTTTTGCAAGGCTGTTGTTAGCTTGGCAACTTGCAAACCTTTTTGTTTTCAACCTGAAACCCAGGGGTAAAACCATATATACTTCCTCTTCAAGGTCCCCATGTAAGAAGGCATTGTTTATGTCTAGTTGCTGAATATCCCATCCTTTTGCAATGGACACAGCTAGGAAAGTTCTTATTGTAGTCATCCTAGCCACAGGAGAGAATGTTTCAATGTAGTCTACCCCTAGCTGTTGAGTGTAATCCTTAGCAACCAGTCTAGCCTTGTACCTTTCTACAGAGCCATCTGCCTTATGTTTCACCTTATATACCCATTTGCATCCAATACGTGTTTTACCTGATGGTAAATCTGTGAGAGTCCAAGTTTTATTCTCAATCAAAGCATACATTTCACACTTCATTGGCTTCCTCCATGCTTCATCTTGAATTGCCTCTTTATATGACTATGGCTCATGTGATGAAAGAATAGAGGATGCACAGATCTTGTAATTGTGGGGCAAACAGTCATATGATATGACTTTGTTAAGTGAGTGTGGAGATGATATACCCTTATCAGATGTCATTGAGTGGCAGTAATAGTCTTGCAATTTTGCAGGTGCATGCCTTACCCTATCTGATCTCCTAGGTTCTGACTGGAACCTGTCTGTCTGAATTGTTCCATCTTCTGAAACTGTGTGATTTGGTGTGTCATTGTTTGATTCATGGTTTGGACTGCCAAATATCCCCATATTTTCAATGCTAGGACTCTCAGTCCTCTCTAAAACTTGGTTGTCAATTTCTCTTCTGTCCTCCTAAGGTGTTGTACTGACTTCAGTGGAGATGGGAATTGAAGGCGACACAAGATTGAACAACATCTTGGCTTTAGGTTTGTACTCTTTGAGAGGAAAAATATGTTCATAGAATTGAAAATCCCTAGAGATAAAAGCATGATTATCAACAAGTTCAAACAATATATAGCCTTTTGTATTAGCAGGAATTCCCAAGAATATGCACTTCTTGGCTCTTGACTGAATTTTGTTCCTTGAGGAGTAGTGGAGGAATAACATAAACAACCAAAGTTTCTAAGGTGATGGTAGTCCACATCTTTCCCAAATAGAACTTAATAGGGAACCTTCTCATTATATTTTGTAGGAGGCAATCTGTTAATAAGATAGGATGCATGCATAACACAATAACTCCAAAATTCTACAGGTAAGTCAGCTTGAAATCTGAGTGCCTTGGCCACATTTAGGATATGTTGATGCTTTCTTTCAACAATCCCATTCTGTTGGGAGGTGTAAGCACAAGATTTTTGGTGCACAATTCCTTTATCATTCAAAAAACTGCTCATCAGAAATTCAGTACCATTATTTGTCCTTATGGCCTTAATTTTAGAAAATTGTGTCTCAGCTTGGTTATAAAAGTTTTGAAACAAGCTTTTAACCTCTTACTTATTCCTCATCAAGTGTAACCAGGTAAACCTACTGTGATCATCCACAATTGTCAAGAAATAATGTTCCCCTTTGATGGAGGCCACAGGAAAAGGACCCCAAACATCCATATGCAAAAGGTCAAAACATTTTTCAGTCCTAGAAGTACTGTTAGGAAATGAAGACCTCTTATGTTTTGCAAAGTGACAAGTATCACAGGCAACATTTGAAGATTTAGACAACTAATATCTTTTATTCCATTCAAAGATTGTATTCTATTCACAGGATAGTGTCCTAGTCTACAGTGCCTAGATCTAAGGACAAACTATTACATTGAACATTCTTATCAAGCTGAGTATTCTTCCCTTTTGCAGGAGGTTCATTGATCAGGTATAGGCCATTCCTTTCTTTAGCAAAACCAACCATCAGTCCATGGGGAGCCTGAATATTGCAAGAATCAGTACTTAAAATGACCTTACAATGTCCTTGTCTAGTTAACTTACTAACAGAGATAATGTTGAAAGTAAAAGAGGGGATATATAACACATTACTTAGCAGCATGTTAAAGTGCAATCTGACTTCCCCTACATGTGTTACACATACAGTTTCTCCATTGGGTAACTTGACAGAAATTCCATGGACCTTTTGATAACTTTCAAAGTATTCTAAGGAGCAAGTGATGTGGTCAGTTGCTCCTGAGTCTAATATCCATACATTATTAGAGGAAATGGCATTAACAGTATGAAGATTGGAAATGAACCTGCCTTCACTGGAGTCTGACTTTATCCCTGACTGTTCATTGTCAATGCTGCACTTGTGGAAGGTTGATTCTCTTGATTCTGGCTATGCAAGAGGGCCAAAAGCCTTTGGAACTGTTCTGCAGACATGCCTATATCACCAACTTGATTCATAGAGACATTCTGAGTATCTTGACTTTGCCTATTCTTTGATTTATAACTAGCCACCCATCCAGGGGGGTATCCATGCTTATTATGGCATTTCTCCACTGTATGTCCATTCATGTTACAGTAGGTGCATCTAGGCACATTTTGCCCCCAAAGTTGTTGAACTTCTTCTTGTTATTATTAGAGGTTGAGAATGCCACAGTGCCTACTTCTTCTGCAAATTGTCCTTGATTGTTCTGTAGAGCATTAGATTGAACTACCTGAATGTTTTTCTGGTTGAGAGATCCATTGGTCTTTCTTTCTATTTTCAAAGCCATGTTTAGAACTTTCTCCATAGTTGGAATTGGATCCATAACAAGGATTCCTGATTTTAAGGTTTCGAATTCATCATTTAACCCCTCTAGAAATCTAATCACTCGATCATCTTCTTTCTCTTTCTGAATCTTACTTAGCAGAGTACAAGAACATCTAGGGTTACACTCATAAATTGGCAGAGGTCTCATTGCATTCAACTGCTCCCATAACGCATTACACTTGGTAAAGTATTCGTTAATAGTTTTGTTACCTTGTGTATTTCTGAATATTTCATTCTGAAGCTCAGCTATCTTGTGGGGATCCATCTGTGAGTACCTCTCTTTGAGCTTGTTCCAGATGTCTTGTGCCTTTTCATAATAGAGATCACTCTCTGCAATGGTGGAATTTAGGGATTTGAGAATCCATGAGCACACTATGTTGTTGCATCTTCTCCAAACGGCAAATTTGGCATCCAAAGGGCTTGGACATGGAATTGAACCATCGATAAGGCCAAATTTGTTCTTTACTTCGAGAGCTATGTTCATGGACCTGCTCCACGATGAGCAATTGAGCTTTGACAGAGGAGGAGACAGAAGAATCAAATTCGGATTCTCGGTTATGTGAAGGTAGAGCGGGTCATCAAATTCTTCGCTTCGTGCATTAGGGTTTGGATTCATCGCATTCTGATGATTGAGGGAAGCATTCGCATTTTCGGCTGAGGTACCTTCGCCGGATGCTATATTCGTCATCACTGCTGCGACATAGTTCCAGTAGAGCTCTGATACCATGATGAAAACTTAAGTGTATGCTGAATTAACAATGAATGCAGCAACTGAAAGAGAGAAAGTTGAACTCATCACTAGTACAAAAAATATCAATAAAATCTAATAATTCGCGTCCAAAGTTTGAACTTTGGACGCCGAATGTGTAGTGCGGTGGCAATTTTGTAATTAAATTGCCACTCTAATTTTTTTTTTTTTTAAATTAGTCGCGTCCAAAGTTGCACACTTTGGACGCGAATAATTAAATACTGGCTAAATTCGCGTCCAAAGTTTCGAACTTTGGACGTGAATAATTAAAAGAGGCTTTAATTCGCGTCCAAAGTTGAGTACTTTGGACGCGAAAAAGCTTTCTAATCCCCTCCCTCCCCCAAATCCATCGATCAGTTCTTCATTATTCAACCCTAACCGTTCATGTAACACCCCAGATTTTCAAGATATTTAAAACTTATAAAATAAAGGTGAAATCTCATTAAATCCCAAACAGAGTACGAGTGTACGAGGTGCTATGCCACACCTGAGCTAGAGAACTCAGGTGCACAAGCTAACTAACTAATGTCTCAAAGATATGAATGCATAAACATGGCACGCAAGCCGAAAGGGAAACTAACTACTTCTATGATCCAAGCTCTAGCGCACTCCAGTGACTTAATCTTCTGTGCCTGAATGCCAAATATATCTGTTCAGCGAGAGATGCTGGTAACCCACTCCAACGCGTTGAAATACATTACATATAGAGATATATATAGATATACGAAAACCCTTTTGAAGCATGAAGATATATCCTACGAGACTCTAGCTTTTAAAACCGGGAATGACTCGACAGATAAGGCTAGACACAAGCAACAGTTATAACAAGCGTATACAATCCACAACAGGCAAGACAGATAAAGCTGAGCATAATTAATAATCATAACCCAACATACACAATCCCCAGCATAATTCCCTTAGTCACATCCCCCAATATACTCATAAACACAACTCCTCCATATCTCATCACATAGCACACTTTGTTGGCGCCACAGGACCAATCGCATGCCCATACATGAGGGTCAGCGCATATAACTCTGACACGGCCCCGCAGCACCCTGCCCCGTCTCACATTACGGAGGAGCCGATCGCAACCGACTGATGGACCTTTGTCCTACATAATATTTATATACCTGACCGGTCTTTACCAGCTTGGTTAACAGTTGAGATGGTTCTCAGCCCATTCAACTGCCCGTATAGTGGACCTTTGTCCTATATAATATTTATATACCTGACCGGTCTCTACCAGCCTGGTTAACAGCCGGTATGGTTCTCAGCCCATCCGACTGCCCGTATACTGGAACTTAGTCCTATATAATATTTTTATACCTGACCGGTCTCTACCAGCCTGGTTAACAGCCGGTATGGTTCTCAGCCCACCCGACTGCCCGTATAGCCCGATTGATCTCAACCAATTCGGGGTTACATACACACATAACACATAGCAAGTACATGCAACCCACATTAACACGTTGGGAAGGGTGAGAAAACGTATAACAAAACCTATGCGTGATCCTTCACATACTAAGAATGGTCCTAAGGGGTTCATACTTCTTTCACCTAGGTCAACGGGATACCAATTCAACTAGCATGCAATATATAAGACTCATACGACCTGCGAACGGTACCCGAAACATCAAACTAGACATAGGCACGATAGACGGAGTCCGTTGGGACACCATGGGGGTCGGGGAAACATCAAACGGGGAAGCCGAAATCCCAAAGCAGGGTTCAAACCAGCGGGTAGCCGGTGGGTGAGGGATCACCCGCCGGCGGAAGCAAATCCGGGCAGCGGGTGCCCGGCGGGCAGCTGCCCGCCCGCCGGCTGCCCGCTGCCGGCGTTGCCCAAGAAGACTGCGGGTAGGTGGCGGGTCCCCTACCCCCACCTACCCCCCACTGACTCTTTCATCACAGAAAAACGCCCCGGGAACCATTGTGGAACCCGAAACCATGCTTAGACACTTTACAACGCAATTAACGATCAACACGTAGACAATTAACGGATCAAATACAAGAAACGTACGTCACATAACCTATCATGCTTTTCTAACATAATCGACACCCCAAACATGCAATTTCCTACCCGATAAACCAAGAATGATATCATACGATACAACCTAGGGTTCTAATCACTTTTATACCAACAGGGATATGATACGTCTTCTAATTACAGATTCGGTAAGAATATCACATAAGTATCAAGAACACCAACAAGAACATCAACCTAGGGTTCTAATTACTTTTATATCAACAAGAATACGGTTCGTCTTCTAATAACAAGATTCGGTACGAATAACACATAATCATCAAGAACGCCATACAATTATCAGGAACAACATATAATCATCAAGAACTCCACATAATCGTTAAGAACACCATAATTATCAAGAATCTCCCAATATCAAGATCACCCATGGAATTATCCCATTAATCATCAGTAATAATATCACAAGTCATCAATACACAATAATATGGGGAAATCCTACAGGGGAAATCATAGCTATGAAAATAGGTTTTGTTGAGACATGGGTTACCTCTTAGCCTTAATTAATTCCTTGGCTATGAAGGGTCTTTCTTTAAGCTTTCTTGCTTTCTTGATTTCTTCTAGGGTGATTCTTGGAGCTCTTTGGGGAGGTGGGGCGTTATTCTTGTGGGGGTTTCTAGGTGCCTCTTAAGTCCCCTATTTATATATTTAGGTGTCCTAGTTAGGAACTAATATTATGGGCTTGCTAGTTCTATTTCTTTTGGGACTAAGGATTGGGTTTAGGGATAAGGGCCCGTGGACTATGGTGGGCCTTCCTAATTAATTATTGTGATTTAATTCTTTCTTTTGGGTAATTGATTAAATGATTTAATTGATCTTAGGGGTCGTAACACGGGGTGTTACACTCTCCCCCCCTTATCGGGAAGCTTCGTCCCCGAAGCTTGGTCCTTGCCGAGTGACTTTTTCTTAGTTACCTGGTGTGAAAAGTTCGGGGTAGCGTTCCCTCATTGTGTGTTTGAGCTCCCACGTTGCTTCCTCGGTCCCATGGTTGGTCCAGAGGACTTTCACCATTTCTATGGCTCGGCGATGAGTGTTTCTCGTCTTGGTGTCCAGGATCCTCACGGGTCTTTCTTCGTATACTAGTGACTCGTCGAGGTTCACGACCTCGGATTGAAGCACGTGGCTCAGGTCGTGTACGTATTCCTTTAGCTGGGATATGTGGAATACGTTGTGTACTCGTTCTAGTTCGATGGGTAGGGCGAGGCGATAGGCTAGGTCCCCAACTTTTTCTATGATCTCATAGGGGCCAATAAATCGAGGGCTGAGCTTTCCTTTCCTTCCGAATCTCATTACCCCTCGTGTGGGCGAGATTCTTAACCAGACCTTGTCCCCGGTGTTGAACTCGGCTTGTTTCCTCCTTAGGTCGGCATAGGACTTTTGGCGGTCCTGGGCAGCTTTCATCCTTTCCCGGATGTGTTTGACCTTGGTGATTGTGTCCTGTAGGTGTTGGGGCCCTAGTGTTATTGGGTCGACCATGTCTTCCCAACATAAGGGGGTTCTGCACTTTTATCCGTATAGAGCTTCGTAGGGTGCCATGCGAATGCTCGCGTGGTAGCTGTTGTTGTACGAGAATTCAATGAGGTCTAGGTGTTCCTCCCATGTCCCTTGAAAGTCCAACACGCAGGCTCTTAGCATGTCTTCGAGAGTCTGAATGGTCCTCTCGGTTTGGCCGTCCGTGGTGGGGTGGAAAGCAGTGCTTAGTTTTAGTTGTGTCCCCAAGGCTATTTGCAGTGATTTCCAGAATTGTGAGAGGAACCTGGAGTCCCTATCGGATACGATGTTTCGGGGGACTCCGTGATACTCCACTACTCGGCTCAAGTAGGCTTGGGCCAGTTGTGTCATTGTCCACGTTTCCTTCATGGCGATGAATCGCTCTGTTTTGGTTAGTCGGTCTACTATGACCCAAATCTTATCCTTGCCGGTCTTTGTTGGGGGTAGTCCTCCGACGAAATCCATGGATATGGAATCCCACTTTCCTTGTGGTATCTCAAGGGGTTGTACGAGTCCCTTGGGCTTGCATCGTTCGGCCTTCACCCTTTGGCAATTCAGACACCTGGCCACGAAATCCGCGATTTCCTTTTTCATGTTGGGCCACCAAAACGACCTTTTTACATCTTGGTATAGTTTGTCACCCCCTGGGTGAACCGAGTATGGGGAGTTGTGTCCTTCCTCCAAGATTTGTTGCTTCAAGTGGGGGTGCGTTGAGGGCACGCACCACCTACCTTGGTAACAGAGACTGTCGTCTTCGTGTATTTTGAAGGGTCCTTCCTTCCCTTGGGTTAGGTCGAGGCGGATTTTATCTAGTTCCGAATCCTGCTGTTGCCCTATTTTGATTTCTTCGAAGAGCGTAGGCACGACTCGTGTGTTGACTAAGTGGGTGTCGGGGTGGTTTTGACCTTGTTTTATTATTTCCAAATTCAGTTTTTGGAAGTCCCTGTACAGTTGGTCCGGTAGGATCCAAGTGGTGTTGAGGGAGTGGTTAGTCTTCCTGCTTAGTGCATCCGCCACCACGTTACCTTTTCCCTCATGGTATTGGATGTCCAGGTCGTAATCCTTTATGAGTTCTAACCACCTCCGTTGTCTCATGTTTAGGTCTTTTTGGGTGAAGATGTACTTTAGGCTCTTATGGTCCGTGTAAATCTTGCATTGCACCCCGTACAAGTAATGCCTCCAAATTTTTAGTGCGAACACGATGGCGGCTAGCTCGAGGTCGTGGGTGGGGTAGTTTTCCTCATGGGTTTTGAGCTGCCTAGATGCGTAGGCTATTACTCGGCCTTTTTGCATTAGCACGCACCCCAACCCCTTCTTGGATGCGTCACTGAAGACCTCGAATCCTTCCTCCCCGGAGGGGATGGCGAGTACGGGTGCCGTGGTTAACTTATCCTTCAATTCTTGAAAGGCCGAGACGCAGTCGTTGTCCCATTGGAAGGGGGTT